GCAGGAATGGCCCCACACGTAACAAGTTCCCAAATGTCCATGCGTCTCCATTTTTTTCTACACAAAGTGACGGGAGCTGACCGAAAAGGAGGACTCTCAGACACCATTTTTTGTGTATACGTATGTTGAGCTCTAACGTGACACTGTTCTATATTTGTTGACAACACATTTGTTTATCTAACCATTTTCATCAAGCAGGATCTTCAAAAACGTGGAGGCCAAGTGGCCCACACACCATGGGCACCCTGGCAGCCCTCCCCAGAACAAGCCTGGACGCTGAAGGCCCTGGGGGCACCCCCGGTTGTAACTGACACTTGGTGCCTCATGGCAACCTGAGAAATCTGTACCCGAACCCAGATCGCTCTCTGTTGAGCCAGAAACTAAGGAGCCGCCAGAGAACACGCCCAGATAGTCTATATCTGCCAATCGGCTTCCAAAGCCGATGAGGGACACATTTTCAAGCAGGGAAAGTCTTTGCACATGTATTTTGTTGATTTCCTTTTCTTAGCATCCTGGGAAGTGTTACTGGGGCTGAGGAGCAGGTGTACTACTAAATCCTTCACCATGAGAAGGATGCGTTCAAGTTTGCCCTTTCTGGGATCTTGGACGACTGCCCCAGCAGAACTGCGGGGGGCTGAGGGGGGCCTAGCCTGCCCGTGGTTAACAGGAATCCTATTCCAACCCCTCTGCTCTCTGTCCCCCCACCATCCCCCCTGTAAGAGCTTGGCAATATTTGCTAAGCTGCATTTTATTGAATATGGTTATTTCCCCAGAGGACTTTTATTCAGAATTAGACCCATGATTTCACCTCCTGGGGGCCGGAACATTTTCCTAGGAAGAAAGATCTTGTTCGTCTATCCAAAGAAATAAAACGGAGGTTTCCCCAGGCCTCCAGATTTTAAGATTTGAGTTGGCAGGCCATCAGAATGTGCTCCCATGTCCCCATCTGTGCCCTTGTCTCTTCTTGTTATTCTCGCTGGTTTAATAGTCTGTTTATAAGCTCCACAAAGAAAGGACGGAGGCCAGCCTTGCTCACTGCACTCTCCCCAGCTCCCAGCACGGAGCCTGGCCCAGAGAAGGGGCCTGGCCCAGAGAAGGGGCCTGATAACGACTTCTCCAGTGAGTCAATGAGCGCTGCCCTTGCAGGGTCAGTACGACACCGGCCTCCTGGCGCTTGGAAAGCTGGCCATCCCTTCTCTGAGCTCACAGCAGGAAAGGGGTTTCAAGATGATGAATGTTGATATAGACAAACTGGAGTCAACCTCTCACCCTGAGACCTGTTTTGCAATCTATCAAGGGCAAAGGGCACCTCTTGCAAATATCTGTTAAGGGGCCAAGAATCTGAGCCGGCTACCCTGGGCTGCTACTTTCCCAGCTAACATGGTAAATTTGTGTCCCAAGTTACCTCTGCTGAGTTCAGTGCCCGTATATGATCTCTCAGGATGGGCTGGCTTCCGGGGCAGGCTGTAGGACCCTGAGGTTTGGGTACTTGGGCGAACATGAGTCCTGCATAGGGCAGGGGCACCATCTGGACCGCCAGCCTGGGTGAAGGTCGCAGCCCCAGGATCTGGCGGTCTCGCCAGCCCTCCCGAGCCACCTGTAGCTTACCGCTAAGAGGGTGGGGAACGGTGAACTGCCTCTGATTGGCGCGGACAGGAAGGACACTCTGCTTCTGGCCCAGGCTCTCCTTCTGCTGGGCTTTTCTCTGCTGTACCATGTGTTCTAGCTTCTTCAGACGTTCTTGCGAGCGAGAAATGAACTGAGGTTTGCGGACTTCCAGGGCCTCCTAAGAGGAGCCAGGAAAGCATTTTCTTTTTAAGAGAAATGACGCAGAAAGGCAACACATCTGCCTGATCGGGTCGAGAGGCTGATGCACGAGCACATCCCAATTTTCTCCCAACACCTCATGGACAGATGGCAACAGACACGTTGGTAACATAGGTCTCAGTCAGCACCAAGGGCCCCACTGCAGCACGACTGACAGTCACCAGCAGCAAACTGTGAGTGCAAAGGCACACCTCCGCCCGTTCCTTCTCCTCTCTGTCAATTAATCCATTTGCAAAATCTGAATGCCCTAAATTCCATATTCCAAAGTGACACAGCGGGGAGAGGAATGGGGGCGTTCCGAGTCAGCTGCTTCTGCAGGGAGCTGGCTGCCTTGAGAAGCACAGAACCAGATCATCCTCCCAGCAGGAAGCATGTGTCTTTTCAGGAGAAACAGTCATCATAGCTAACGGAAACACCTTCTCCTCCCGGGAAGAAAGAGCCGGCAGGAGAGCTCTGCCTTTGCAGAATGGTTCTGCAAGCTCCATAGGGGAGGTCAGAATTCCCGTATTTCCTCTCCGGCCTCAGCTCTCGCTGCACCCGCCACTCCGTGCATGGACGAAGCCCCTAACACAGACTTACTGAAAAGGAATAACCACCACTGACGCACTCTGCTCTGTGCTAGACACTAAGCTCAATGCTTTATGTTGTCTGAGAATCCCCGCATTGATTCTGGAAGGCAGATACACTTATCCCCATTTGACAGAGGCAAAAACTGAGGCTCGTCGTAATTTGGTAGATCGCCTGGCGACCCTCAGCTGTGGGTGTCCCATGCTTTTCCCACCCTGCCTTTCACTGTCTTAACCTGATATTCCTCACAAACCGCTGTTCAAGTTGATACCCTGCCTGGAGTACCACCCCCAGCTACACCCATTTGCTCAAGTCTCGGTTCTCCCAGTAAACTGCCAGGTCTCCCTGTTCAGCCTGAGCATACTGGTACTTCATGGACCACCCCGCGCGGGTGATTCACACACGTGTATCGTCATGCTAGGCTGTGAGCTCCCGGATGGCAGGTGCCCTATCTCCTCCATATCGCATCCCTTACAGCCACTGCCCCAGCTCTGCAAATAGCAGGTGCTCAGCACAGGCCCTCTGGAGGTGCTGCCAGAGTGTAAACGTCCTCTGCCTCATTCCTCTCCCAGCCCTCGGGGAGCTCAGGGTTTCCAGGGAGAGGGCGACGTGGGCTCCATCCGTGTCGTGTTCGCGCCCCTAGATGCTGTGCCAGGAAAGGAGTCTCTCGGCCAGTTGGCCTCCAAGGTGCCAGCCCCAGGTCCCAGGCACGAGTCACTGGGGCCTGGAGAGATGGCCCCTGGGGACGGCCTGTGGGCCCAGGCGTGGCTGCTGCCCCGGCTGCCCGCCCTGAGGATGGAGGCTCAAGCTGCTTTGGGAGCACGTGAGTCTCTCACAGTGGGACCACCTGGGGGACAAGGGTGCAGGGCCGGCAGGTGGAGCCTGCTGCACATCAGCAGGGCTGTTGACAGCGCATCATGTGTCTCCCAGGAGGCGTCGCTGGCTTTCTCCGGACTGTCTGTCCTTCTAACCTTTATATGTATTTTTTGAACTTTAAAAACTGTGTACATATTACTTCTACAACTGGGGAAAGACGCAAAATGAGAGCTTCCATATCCTTGAACTCAAGGCCATGACTTTGGGACTTCCTTAATCTTTCAAAGGCTTATGTTCTTATCTGAAGATAGGGCTGTAGGGACTCCTGCCTCACGGGGGTGCCATGAGGATGCAAGGCCCTGACGCCCATGAAGTGACCCTCTCCATGTCTGGGCACCAGAAAGTTCTCAACATAATGCTGTCATTGCTCCAATCACGGTCACTGCTGATGTTATGCGATCCCCATCCTAGCCCGGTGGAGCAGACATCATCATCTCCTTAGGCCCAGAGAGGTTAGGGGACCTGTCCAGAGTCACACAGCCACCAGGAAGCTGAGTCAGGTCTCCAGCCTCAGAAGCAGAAGTGAGGTCATGTGCCCACAGGCTCCCCGGGAAAAGTCTCCCCTTGGCGGGAATCACGCTGGGACGCACGGAAGGCCTTACCTGCAAGGTCAAGGAGCTTGCGGGCATTTGCGGGCTCCTGGAACAGTCTTCTGGCAGGTCGTGGGTCTCTGGTCCCTGGGGGGTTTCTGGCTCAGTGGGTGCTGGCTCGGGCTCGGGTGTGGTGGGCTGCTCACTCTTCTTGCATTCCTTTATTTTAACAACCAAGTCACAGCACGTGTAATCTCCTGCGAGAGATTAGAATTCCATTTAGAGAGCGCCCAGTGATTTTCTCCTGGTTCCTCAAGGCCATGAGACACAGAAGACAATTTTGAAAATAGAAACACCAGTGGGTTATTAATGGGCCTCGTTAAGCCCACGAGGTCACGCCTCATCACAGACCCCCAGCTGCCCTGGTCACGGGGAGGCATGTTCATAGGCAGCCAGACCTTGAGACTGGCTAGTGATGCCGTGGAGGTATTCCCTTGGCTTTTGACGTTCAAAATGCCTTTGCTCCCGATGCAAAGAAACTTTTTCTATTCTGTGCTTCCTATTATGTGTGTCCTGTACAATTTTTTCAGTTGGGCTGTTTGGGGACCGTGTATTTTACTTTATCTTTGCTACGCTAATGATGTAAGACAGAGGAACGGTGTTCAATTATCTATCCCTCCCCTTAATCTACCAGAGACTAGCCCTGGCTTTACATTCATAATTGGAACTCTCTCTGTCTCAGCGTGGGATTGGGCCCCATCCTGAAGCCATTTTGACATTCCTTGGTGGAAGAGATCAGAGGATGAGTTGATGCCACAGCATTTCGGGCAGGGTTGCCTTCGGGGTGGTGAAAGTGGGCGACTCATACGTATTCACTTACCACTTACTGACCAACTGCTCCACTTGGAACACAGCGTCTGTCCCAGCCCACTATTCCCATCTGGGCTCCCTGACTCCCCTCACCACACGAGCCCTAACCACAGCCTTACCAACCCTCTCCGGTTCTGAGACTCACTGGTGGTCCCCTCACTCCTCGTACACGCGCCTTCCGATCTCCACGAAGCCCCTTTGGTGCCCACCCAGTGACCTCCTACCTCTAGGCTGAGCCTGAGTTTTTCAGGAAAATGCCCCCTCCTGCCTCCTCTGTGTACCTGCCGTGGAGCACACTTCACATACTCAGCAGCATCAGTGGGCCCGTCACAGGATGCTTTAACCCCACAGGCCTGTGACTCCCTTGAGGGCTGGACCACATCATACTCACCATGTCTCTCTCCACACTGCCAGCCCAGGTGCCCAGGAGCAGCTAGTTCTGTTGGGTGTGGAGAGGTGGCCACAGGACGCGTCTCCATGGTCCCATGAATCTCTTAACTGACCCCCCATTATAAGCTCCGCCATTCACACCCAGATCCTCTGTGGTCTGGACCAGCTGTCCTGTCTCCACCCCAAATCCGTCAATGTTCCCTACTACCTACATGCCCTACAAGGAGAGCAGACTTCTCATGGCTCGTGCATGGTGGGTGTTGCCCTCCAGCTACCAATTTTGATGCTCTACCAACAACATGCTGCTTAGAGGTTCGCAAATCCTTCTTGTTCTTCTAAGCATTTGCTCCAGTTTTTTTTTTTTCTGGAGATTTCCCTGTGGCTCCCCCATCCCTGCTTCAGGCCTAACCACTAACCCAGATATCTGTCCCCCAACCCCCTCCGGCTAGAGCTAATTACACTCTCCGTGGTACCGTTTCCATCTCTTGTGAACCTTTATTCTAGCTCACCCTATACTCAGGGAAGCCACGGTTTCCTCCCATCCTTCCCCTCCACAGATGCAGTGATGCAAGGGCAGCCCTGACACACTCATCCCCTCCATTGCTCACGACAAAGCTTTGCCCATTATCTTCAAAGTCTCTACTACTGTGGCCAGTCCTCCCCAGTGGCATGGTCTGTACTCATCTCTAGCCAGTCTCAGCCTCCCTGCCTGGCCCTCTCCCATCCGGCCTCCACACTGTCCAGGAGACAATCACCTTCAGAGCAAATCTAATTAGGTCTCTTCCCCTTCAAGGACTTGGGCCAGGCTTCAGTCCAGACTCTCTTAGTGGATTTATACGGACCTTCCAACTCGACCCACGGGACCTTGGATTCACACTAGCCTCCCCTCCACCCCTGCACTCTGGTCCCCTGGACCCCAAATCAGCCATGTGCTCTTTCCATCCATTCTTTGCTTTGCGTGTGCTTTTCCCTCAGCCTGCAATGCTCTTCACCTTAGGGGCTGATTTTTAAACCTCTAATCAGCTTTCAAGTTCTTTCTCAAAATCATTTCCTTGAGGAAGATGTCTCTGTCCAGCCCCTCCTTGCAGCATCTGGGGCCGTCCTCAGCTTCCTGATGGCTCACCACAGGCACAGTTACAACCCCGACGTCTCTGGTACCGGACTGAGAGCACCTGGAGGGCAGGAAGCACCGTGCACAGTACCTGGCACACAGTAGGTGTTTAATAAATGCTTCTTTGATGGTATACAGTGGGTATTCAATACATACTCCTTTAATGTATTGATGAATAATGGGCTAGAGATTCACTTGGGTTTCAAGAAACAATGTTTTTATCAATTACCGTAAATATTTTAACTTTTATAATCAAAGCTCTATAATCTTTTCCTTTCTGTCCTCATCCACAGCTCTCTGGGAAAATCTTTAGAGTGATAGGAAATCTAAATTTTCCTCTGTTATAACTGGGCACCACAGATCTTTTTTCTATTTTATTCCTATGTTTTTCTAGATATCAATGGCCGCTGTAATATTCGTAGGGGTCAGCCACTTGGCCTTTAGAGAAATGATGGCCTGGTTTGACTTCTGTGAGAGGCTGAGACGGGGACCTATCTTCAAGGCACTGTGAGGTTAGTGCACTCTGTTTGTTGAGTGCCTGGCACATGTGGGGTCTCCACGCCCCGGCCATTATCCTGGCCAGTCAGTTACTGAGGACCACCCTCAGCCTGGCGCACCCGCTTCCTTCAGGGCAGCCACCCCGCGTCTCAACTGTTCCCTAACGAGGCCCGAGAACCTGCCAGGCACCTGGGAGCAGCCTTCTTCTCAGCTTCAGGCAATGCTGGCCTTGTGCACAGTAGGGCTGGGATTCCCTGACCCATGCAGTGCTGTCTTCTCGCTGCTTGGGAGGTAGAGCTTGCCCACTATTTAAACCTGCTGGTCCTGCTTCCTTCTCTGCTTGTACAGTTGGAGAAAAGGCAGATTCCTAAGGGAAGCTCAAGTGAACCAGGGCCCAGGAAGACCCTGCACCGTGTTCCCTATGAAGATTAAGGAAGAATCATCTCAACCCTATACCTCCCTCGCTCCTTACCTTCCAGGAACTCTCTTTCTATCTGAACACCGTGGTCTTCCTGCAGAGATGTGCATAAATCTTGGAAGGGGCAAAGGGACCCAGGTAAAGGGATGCTGAGTTTCGGGAGGCTTTGCTGTTGCCTCTCTGCAGGTTCAGAGAGGTCACTAGACTGACAGCTGTTGCTTGGAGAGCTAGACCCATCAGGAAGGGGATCTTTAACCAGCTTCCGTTCCACTGGGGGAGCAGACACAGTCACATGTGCTCCTTCCTGGTGCTTCTCGCGGCTTCCAGAAAATACTTTTGGTTCTACTAAAAATAAAATGGGAATTGTGCTCAAAACATCTGATGAGCCCACGTCTAATGTGCCGACTTCTGCACGCCACGCTCTCCCAGAGACAGGCAGATGGGCTGCAGTGCTGCCTCAAGGGGACGGGCGCCATTGATGCCAACGTGCATGTGCTGACCCAGCAACGACACGTGGTCACCAGTTCTGGCCAGACGTCCCCGGGGTTCACTCGGGAGCCCCTCTACATGCACTGCTCTCATGCACGTGGCTCTGAAGAGACCGTGCTCCCTGGTACCCTTCGGAGCTCAAAAGACCTTCCAGACAGTAGATAACTGAATGGGTGGTTTAGCACATTGACTCTGGGGGAAGATACCTTGGGTTCAAATCCCCCCTCCATCACTTATATGCTATCTGGCCTCATCTATAAAATTGAGATAATACTGTAACAAGGTAATAATGTTAAATATTATATGTTTAATTTTAATATATTTATTTTTGTAATAAATTTACCTATTTAAATAATAAGCAATATATTTATGGAATGTATATAATCATATTTTATATGATAAACAATGTAAGCATATTATTAATATAAATACTAAATGTTAAAATCAAGGTAATACTATAACAAAATAATGATCCAGCTAAGGTGTTTAGCACAGTACCTGATACACAGTAAACATTTAATAAATGTTCATTATCATTATTATTCCAGAAACGATGATGCCAGGTTACGTCCTATGGCAAGTGCAGATGCAGGATGTAATTCATCAGCTGTCTGTGCTCACCCCTAATAAAGCAGTGGGTCTAAAAGGTGTACAGTGTGTTGCTTGTTGCCACGTTGTAATATCAAAGGTCTGGAAACCACCTTATGCTCATCAGCAGGAGACTGTTAAATAAATTACAGCACTTCCCTGCTTTACAGCAGTGAAAAAGAATAAGACACATGCTCCTGGGTAGAGGGGGAATCATCTCTAAGATACATTATCAAGTGAACAGAGTGTGGACAGTGTGCCAGATCTGCTTTCCCACAGTCAGTGCTAATGTGCTCAGAACATCTTTGGAAGAACCCCAAAGACCCTGGGAACTGGACTGTCTTGGGAGAGGGCAACTCAGGACCAGGAACTGGGGGCGGGAGAGAGACTTTCTTTGCACTCTCCACCTGTTTTGTACTCTTTGTTTTTGCTTGCTTGCTTTTTCTTTTGGAATACTCTATAAAGTTTTAAAAGCTATTCACTTTAAACAAGGCAGTGACTCTTAACCAGGTGCCGTCTCCTCCCTATGCTGAGGCCACCTAAGGGGAGACAGGCACGCCTGCCGGTGGGACGCATCCAGACCTCCTGCATACGGGGGGCAGAAAAAGGGTCCTGGGAACCACTGGAATAACTGAGATTCTTGGAAGATTCTCATCATATTTTCTGAGATGTCTTGTACACAGAAAGGAAATGAGCCCATGACTACCAGGCACTGATTAGAGTGGTGACTTCTCTTAAAATGCCAGTTGTCTGCAATTCCTTCCAGCCTCTCTGTCCCTGAGTCCTGGCATCCCAGCCAGTGAGGACAGGCTGAGCGTGGTGAGGCCGGCAGGGCAGTGGGAAGAGGTGGAACACAGACGGTCCCCTCGCTGGGTGTCCTGGCTGTGGGACCTGAGGCAGGAGGGCCAACAAGAGGGTGGACCCAGCATTCCTATTCCCACAAACAAACAAACAAAATGAAGGTAAAGTACCCCCCTGGGTCCCTGTGCCTGTACGTGAAAGTCCCCCCAAATGGTGGTTGTTACAGACCTTATCATTTAGAGAGGGATATGGCCTCCTATGGAAAAGTTGGGCTTTGCTAATTTGTACAGAAAAATCTTTCCAAGCACGTATTTCAAAAACTGTCAATTCTGTTTAAGTATAAAAGAGCATAAGCCAAAAAAGTCCTAAAATAGTTCTTCCTTTCTCCGTTGCTTCCTTTTATTAGAGGTTCTCTTAAAGAATCAAAAACCAAAGTAATTATCAGTGATGCAGTCCCAATCTACTAGTTCCATCCTGACATTAGACTCTTTAAATAAATGGATTATTTATAGACTCATGGAGAGCTAACTATCTGCTACCTATTTACCTACCTATTTTTTAATTATCTAACTTGCTATCTGGTTTAATGTAAATTCTTGCATGAACGATTCTACGCAAGTCAGATGTTCCAGTTGTGACTTGAAAGAGTTAAAACAAAGCCTCCAAAGTAGAATGTAGTTGGTGAACTGGGGAAAAGAAAAACATGCAGTCAAAGAAAAACCCTCCTGACAACTTATTGATCGGGGCTTTTTGTGGATTCTGAAAAGTACAATCATCAGCCGTGAAATGATCCCCAGGCAGAGCCTTTGCCAGGAAACATGGCAGTTTTTCCCCCCACACACTCTGCATGCAGGCTGTACTCAGAGTTCTCTATTCACGGCTCAGATTTTAAACTACGTCACTTCCCGTGAAGACCCGTCACCTCCACAGGCTCTGCCCGTCTTAGGAGAAGGTGAATCACGCAGCAGCCTCTAGCAGAGGTTTCTATTTCTTGGGCTGAAACTCAGAGCCTGATTCCTGAGGTTGATGCTTGGAGGGGCTGGGGTCCCGCAGGTTTCCTTTCAACAGCCACAACCCCCATTCCCTTCTCTAAAACGCGATACCCACTGGGTTGATATTCTATAGCTCAACTACTCACTAGCTAAGCTACTCAACTAGCTCCAGCAAACTCACCTACTCAGAGCTGAGCCAGGCTCTAGGACGTAAACCCAAACCAGCCAAAAGATCTGCCCGACAGTCATGAATTCCCTCTATTAAACTCTCATCTTTGACTCAGAGACGAGCTCCTTGGACCATTACACGGTGCTTCTCTGTGCTCCTGCAGAGCTCATTTTTTGTTGTGAGATGTATTATATTTGTAATTAAAGATATTAGAGCACCTACGAGCCTCCTGGATTAAGAAGCAGAACTTTCCTTGGGCTTCAGCTTTCCTATCTGAGCCCCTTCCGGATCATACTCACCCAGACAGAACCACTTGCCTAAATTTTGTGTGGCCTGACTCACTGCTTTTGTCTCTAATGTTCCCACCTATGTAAGGATCCATAAACAATATATTTTCAATACCAAAAATCTGAAGAGCAAGCACAAAGCAGCTGTTTTAAGGTAAAAAACATCACTGTACCCGTTAGGAAAAAAGCTTTCAGAAGAGTTGAACATCTCAGGGCCATCGCTTCCCTGAGACTTGATGGGATGTGATGCTGGGGAAGATAGTGATGAGCCGTGAATGAGTCCTGAAAACAAGGGGCTGACCACAGTCAGGGCGTCAGGCAGGGCTGGCAGGCAGCAGTACAATCAGGGAGGGCAGTGGGCTGTGCTGGATTTTCTGTTCCTGACCTCACCATGTCCAACTGCAGACCTCAGGGCTAAGTTCCAGCAGGGCGCTTCTCTGCGCTGAAATGTGGGCCCTGAGCTGCCCCAAGTGCAGGGCAGGGAGGGGAGAATGGAGACCTCACCGACACAGCATCAAGACCGGCCAAGAAGAGACTTGAATCTGGGGCAGGCTAGGGCACCACCAGCGCACGCAGATCCTTAGTACAAAATGAGGAAAAGCTGCCCGAGCCTCAAGACAAGGTGCCTCCACGGGCCAGAAAGTGTCACAATGAGCCGATTTGATAGAAAAAGATCCCTTACTGCTTCTTTCCAAATATCGAGGTGATACATAATCTTTCGTGTTCTCAGACGAGCCCCACGCTGTCACACAATTCTAATAACTGTGGCAATTCGGGCTCACGATAGGAAACGAGCAAGTGGAAGGCGGTTGCTAAGCAGCGGACCAACACAGTCGCCAGACTCTGTCAGTGGAATCGCAAAGGATGAGCGAGAAAACCATGAAAACCACACATAGTCCCAGAGAGCATAGCTGTATGGGGACCCTTAACAGCCCAAGGCAGGTAACTAACATAGGGGACACAAAGTAGAGTCATTTATCCAAGTTAGCTTAGATTTGTTACAGGTGTTTTGGTGTCAAAACTGAAACCAGCTCTCTAGAAAGATCTTCTCTTAGGGTTTGGGTCTCAGCTCCATACACCTTCCTGCCTTCTAAAACCAGCCAATCAACCAAAGAGATGTTTCCAAGCAAAGCAGCCTTCCTTGAATCCAAGGCCACATTTTCTCCCACATTTTAATGTTTTGGGAAGTTATATATTCTCCCTTCAAACGCTAGACCATCTCACAACACACTGTCTTAGAAATAACAGTAACTGAAGCTTGTGTTGATATTTCTGGGTCATCAATAAAAATACCAGTTTCTAAATGCAACTACAGTGGGTCTCAGGCTCTCCTAAAAATCTGATGTTACTTGCCACTACCCTGAGTGGCCCCAGACTTCCCTCCACCCATTACCACCTTTTTAAAGCTCCTGCATCTACATTTTATGTATAGCTTACCTATCTGATCTTCCTGCCTCACCTGTGGGCTTTCCTCCAGCAAACCCCATAACTGTGCATCTCACTGGAAATCAAAGAAGTGAGCTGGAGAGGACTGTGTATCCATCAAATGGAAAGCCACTCTGAACAGCGCCCGTGGGTGAATCGCGGACACCCTCACTTTAGGCAGGATTTTGCTGTCTCCAATTTTGACACAGGGACACAGGAGGCTGCTGCTGAGGGGAAAGGAAAGGTATTCTCTGCTCAATACATGCTAATTCTTGGACACAGATATCACTAAAGAGGAAGGAAAAGGCGGTAACCCTGGGTACTCAAAACACACACAATTTCTCCAGCAGGTGAAATTCTCTCCCCTTTTAACAGGAGAGAAATCCTTAAACTACCTGCAATTACAGTACACAGAAGATGACATAAAAGAGTCTGTTGATGACCCATAGAGAAACAACCAACAGAGAAAGCAAACAACAAGCTTTTACAATGGACGAGGCTGGTGGGTACTTTCTCTGCTTTTTAACTGGTAAAGGCTTCATCTTCTGGCAGCAGATGAAAACTTGATTTCCTCATGGAAAGAGGTGTCCATTT